AACTCCTCCCTCTTGCGTAACATAATTTATAGACCTTCTCTAAAAATTGTCAATTTACAATTGATTGATATTTGAAATTGATACCATTTAATCCCAAATTTATCTGGTAGTCCAAACAGACTTATGATTGCAATATTCCACAAGTTGGTGAGTAATTATATCGAATTTACATTATGGCAAACTCATATACAACTCATCGGTAACACTGTTCGAAATTTTAATGAGGGTATTCATTATTTCTTCGTATCGTAAAATTAATGTAGTTTACTAAGAAAAAACAAGGGGTCAAGCTTCGTAAAATCGTAAGTTTAGTAACGTGATTTTTTATGACAAAAATCTTACGACGCTTATAAATCTCTATTTTTATGCGGCTTTAATCATAAAGTGTTGCTAATCTTTGAAAAGTATGCGTTTTAATCTTTCAAGCACGTGCCGCATGATCACCGCCCAATTCTGGTGAGCCTATTTTTAATTGACTTACAATCAGCAAGTGTTCCTCATCAGTTCCCAAAGTAATAAGTCCAAGGTCAAGTTTTAGAGCCCGGGACATAGTTTTACTTGACCCGTTCATTTATAGGGGAACTTTTCATTTGGTGCCGCGTGGATTCGATGGAATTCAGTTTTTCCCGCCTTCTTAAATTTTGGTGACCCTTTTGACTGATACCTTCCACTTATTTTTCGATCAACACTGCCAGTGTTAATGTATAATTTTATGGCTGACCAACTTACGATAATTTCCGATTTTATTGAGCACCTGGATAATCTCGGAAAATCTCTTTTTTATTCGCTCAAAAACGAAGCTAAAAATTTACAACATGCAGTGCGGGCCAGTCTGTTCTTTTGGTACCATGGGTCACAAAAGCTTTCATAGCACGATTTCTGATAGACAATTGCGTGGGTAATTCAATAAAAAATAGCTCGACTTTCTAAATTAACTGCCAGTAATTTTTTGTCGCGCCAAATCTGTTGAACATAACTTATGTACTGGACAACTAGGTATACCGTTCATTCACAAATTAATATTATTCGCACAAAAAAACACTGCGTTACAGTAACATGTGCCAGCTCACCCACCCTCCCCCCTGCCACGCTGCATAACGGAATTTTTACCCACCCCTATTTGCGTTATGAAGTTTATGAACGTCCCCGAAGGGTTGGTCCAAAAAATTGTTGATTTTTGCATTATGAAATTTATTAAAGTTCCAAAGTTATTATTAAAGTTATTATTATAGTTATTTATTCTTCCAAGCATGTCACTCCCTCCACCTCAAATTGTTTTACTCGTTTTAATGTTTTAATGTTTTAATGTTTTAATATTTTAATGTTTTACTCGTTTTAATGTTTTACTCGCTCCACCTCAAATTGGTTTGATCTGAAGACCACGAGCAACCCTGCGGGATGACGATATCCTTTGCATCCGAACGTAGACAAAACCAGCTCAGCTTATTGTAAACCTTGCCGTTTGGTTCTTCTTTCCATCTCTGGTTTTCGTCATCGCGCCGACAAGTCACCATGTTTACAGTGCTCGTTCCGTAATAGGATATCGATGCAATGCATAATTTTGTCGCTCTGTTCTTAATGGTGGAGTTATTCACCCAATCCCATTGTTGGTACTGGTTTTTGTCATTGCATGGCGACACTTTAAGTGAGTCCTTAACGAATCCTTCGGCATCGAGACATTTCTTCGAATCTTGATGCAAGAAACGGCGTCCTTCAGAGTGCAACGACAGGGCAACGACCCCTAGCGCAAAGGTGACCAGGATGGAATTCATTGTCCCCTATAAGAAATTGATTAATCATATGTAGATCACATTCATAAATTGGAGTAAGATTTACTTACAAGGGACACTCACGACCTGTCGTTCGTGTACCCACTACGTTTTTTAGAATCTACTAGGACCCTAAATGAAAGATCCATTCTTATTTCCGTGTAAAACTTATATTTGGCGCCGTGGCGTGGCGCCACACTTAAAAATCTGCGTTTTCGACCATTTTCAAACCTCCATAACTTTTGCAGTTTCTGTGGGATTTTCAAAATTTTGGACTTAAAATGATCACAAAGGTCAAAATTTGAAGAAAAAAATAAAAATAAAAAAATTTTGTTTTTAAGAGATTTTTAAGATTTTTTCGCCGAATTTCCACGTGTAAAAAAATTTCAAAATTTTGACAAAAATTGAAACAATCAATATTTTGAAAAACTTGATTGCATACTAAAGTTGAACTATTTTTCATGATGTTTGGAATTTTTTTTTGAAAATCCACCCAGGATTTCAAAAGTTATGGCGGTTTTAAAAATAAAAACCTACAAATTTGGCGAATTTGGCGCCACGCCACGGCGCCAAATATGAGTTTTCCACGGAAATATGAATGGATCCTTCATTTAGGGTCCTAGTAGATTCTAAAAAACATAGTGGGTACCCTGGACACGAACGACAGGTCGTGAGTGTCCCTTGTTAATATAAAATAAACTAAACATTACTTTAATAAAAATCTAAAAGTTTTATGTCACCGAGCTAGAAGGAATAAACTGCTTTTGGACTTAAGCCCTGGTTTAGATTATTAAACCATGAGGAATGGTCAAAGTTCAAAAAGTCCTTATGCTCACGGATTGACGAGACAACGGGCAGAATTAAGAAAGATCGAATGCAGGCAGTCGATTGGACAATATATTGCACCAATTAGTGCACGGAACGGAAAGAATATTTACTTACCAACCTTGGTTTAGTGAGAAATTTCTGCTATCAATGCGTCCCCTGATCTAGAGCAATGTCGATAATCGAAGCAAGTTTTTAGCCAAGAATGAAACTGGTAACGATTAAATTACGTCCGCCTCGTGACACCAAATCAGAAGGAGGAGTATGCAACAATGCATAATTTAATTGCTCAATTTCGCTACGCCGCACACGTAATGTTGTTTGTTTAAAAGTAATATTCCATTAATTCCACACAATATGGAAATGCAGGCATGTAATTGCTTATTTGTTTGGGAGGAAGTGTTATAAATTCAGGATCGTAAATCAATGACGGATGTGACGTTATTACACGTGTGAAGTGGACATGTACGTTATTTGTCCAGCACCCAATTTATACATTATTTACTTGGCTATCTAACTGTTGTAAGCATGGGTAAGAAAGGCATAATTTGTAATTGCTACAAAATCGAAAGAAAAGAAAATATACCGTTCTTACTACCGTCATTATTACAGGGTCATTAAATATGTAATAATGATTTTTACATAATTTTGCACCAATGGTGCAGAGTAAGCGAACTAAAGATATGCATAATTTTTACATAATTTTGTACCAATTTGGTACAAAATTTTTCCCCTCAGCCTTATTTTTACACTATTGAAAAATTCACTTGGCGAGTAACTTTCGCTCTTTTCCATCGAATCCGTTTCATTGCAAACATTTTGAAAAACGAGGGGTGCCTTATTAGCTCACCTTGCGTAGCAGAGGAGCTATTGAATTCCTCTTGTCAGTCTGTCCGTCCGTCCTTCCGTCTGTCTGTTTACGACTCTTTTGCAACAATTGATGCTAATTAGAGCCAGTTATTGGCATTCCTGACTGACTTATTAGCACCACTGATATCGAACAATCGGAGACTCAAAATGGTGCGAAACAATTGAGAAAATATATGCCAAACGCACCAAAAGTGCAGAAGAACCGTCAGAAACACTTATGATTTTGACGTAAAATTTTTTAATATTTTATGTCAAAATCATGGTTGCTCTTCCCTCGTGTATTTTGCACCATTGGTGCAAAATTATATCGCAATTACATATACCTTTATTACGCATATTCTGCACCATTAATGTAAAATTTTGCCAAAATTGCGTATCTATTTTATCTGCACCATTGGTGCAAAATTATACCAAAATGGTTATTACAGGGTGAGCTACTTTTAACGTTACAACGGTTTATTCTCTACAAAGTTGAGGTTGAAACGAATCTTTAATGGTTCCAAGGCCACCAAAGTCTTTCGCAGTACCGACTTTCTCTCCGATTTCCACTCCGTTTCCCACCTGTGTTCGTAGCCTCGAACAGCTGAATACCTGTGACGTCGCCAAAAACACCATCATATTCAAGGCGATGACATCCGTAAAAATAAACCGTTGTAACGTTAGAAGTAGCTCACCCTGTAATAATGATTTTGACGTAATTTTGCACCAATGGTGCAGAATAGGCGTATAAAGTTGATATGCAATTTTGGTATAAGTTTGAATTAATGGCGCAGAAGAAGCGGTAAAAATATATACATAATTGTGACATAATTTTGCGCCGATGGTGGAGAATAAATGAGGGAAAACAAACAGTAATTTTGATATGAAATATTGGCAAATTCGAAGTAAAAATTATTGTCATTTCTTCCGGTTCTTCTGCACGTTTGCTGCGATTTGCATCTATTCCCTCAATTGTTTGGCAACATTTTGAGTCGCCGATTTTTCGATATCAGTGGTGCTACTAACTCGGTCAAGAATGCCAATCACTGGCTCTAATTAGCATGAATTGATGCAAAAGAGTCCTTAACAGACAGACAGACTGACTGACGGACAAGAGGAATTCAATAGCTCCTCTGCTACGCAGGGTGAGCTAATAAGGACGAAAACCCCGGTTCAACTTCACAAGGAATCGTGTAGTTTAATACAGACGAAAAACGGGAAATACTCAATGCTCGCGAGACCAAGTGCAGCCGCAGGAAATATCTGTTTCTGATTACACAAATTACTTAGAATGCTCAAATTTTGTATTTGTTTGTACAACATGACCAATTTTTGGGGCGAAGTGGCTCCAGTTTTTGACAACGTGTTCAAAATTTTGACATAGTTCAACAAATGGACGACTGCTCCGATTAAGACCTGTGTCACGTAGAATACCGCTGACACGCACACTTGTAACAACATGATGGCATCAATTATAGCCAGTAGGGTTCGAGTTTCTCACCTTGGCGAAATCGTCGGAATTATTCGACACATGGGCAGCATAGATCCCAGAAATGGTTGTTTTTTAGGGACACTAAAATGACCCACAACGAATTTATTAACCAACAATTTATCCTAAAATTTCTGCAATAGAATATGAAGCTACATGCATCTAGTAGAAATTAAGCCTACTCCATAATTTAGCCAATTTCTATCGCCACGCCAACGGTTAGCTTCACAAATTCGGCGACTTGCTCAAAGCTCATTTTATCAGCTGTATCTGCCGGAGTGTGAATATCTGGACTCAGTGGGTATGAAGACGCACAAGCAGTGGGGTAACCATGGCGGGTGAACGACGCATGATCCGAACAGGCATACCCGCAAAAATGGTTGATCCATAATATTGAGCAGTACTTTTCGATTACGAGGCGAAGTAAGGCCGTTAAAATGGGGGACGTATAGTCCGTCAAGAGTCCGAACTGGTTGGGGCCAGAGCGAAACCCAACCTCGTCGTAATTCACCATTGCGACAATCTGCACAGAAAATCATACCAAAATTAATAGAAAATTGCTCGTATAATGAAATACACATAATAATGTCTTTGTAGAATTATTGATTTGGTTATCTAATTCACAGAATAATTATTCGGATTGCCCGCGTTAAAATACCGTAATGATTACACCCTCAACGGATACTAATTGTAAATCCTTTACCTACCTTTACGCCCTGGTTGTAATAAGTCTCCGCGATGTCGCCCGATCCCCGCAGTCCGACCTCCTCCGCGGAATACCACTGAAACTCGATTGACCTCTTTGGCACGAATCCTGTCTCTATTAACACTCTTAAAGATTCAAATAAAGTCACACTCCCGCTCGCGTTGTCATTTGCTCCAGGCGCTATTCCGTTTACCGGATCGTCTTTGTTTATCGAGTCAAAGTGAGCTCCAAAAACTACAAACTCGTCCTTCAAAATGGGATCGGAACCTGAAATCAGCCAGACATTTTTATTCGCCCGTGAGTTTAAATATTTTAACTGGGATATTCAAAAAATTAAGTAAAATGTAAATTTGTAAAGCACAGATTTGATTCCAGGCTGTAAAAAATAGCCTAATTTTCCTGCATAAAGTGCCCTTTAATTCATTCGTGCTCGTATTTCTTTGACCGGGAAATTCAAATAATTCAAAATAACGCGTAATAATTTCCTTCCATACCCCGATTCCTTCAGAATACTTTACCTTCGATCCTTGCAATGATACTGTGTTGTGCGCAGCTGTGATTAAACTTCGTGACCGTCACTCGTCCCTCATATCCGGGATCAATTATCGCAACCTTCACCATTCTTTCCACCCAATCCGCCGCATCCACTCCATTCTGATTGTTGTAATATCGATTAGGAAAGTTGTCCAAACGGTCGACAAATGTCATCATTCTGTCGATATCAATATTTCCTATCGCTGTTAGTACAATATCCTCAAATCGCAGGTTTCCCGGAATAACTGAAAATATTATTCAATAAATATAGTATATTTTTCTCTAAAATTTGCACCCCTTAAAAAAGACCCCTCCCGTACCATGCTCACCAATTGTTGTCCGGTTTATCCCACCTGGAAATTTACTTGTCGTCACATCCACAAAATGTATTCCGCTTTTAATCAGTGTAAAAAGTTCTTCTTCGCCGAGCCAAGAACCTTGATCGGATTCGCCCCACTTAATCAGACGTTTGACAGGTTGCCCTTCCTCATTTATCGCTGCCAACGACGCTCCCAAAAAGACAGCAATAATTATCTGTGCCTTCATGTTTCTCCGTAAACGAAATATCTGTTCTCCTGGATGAAATCCAAGCCACTGGCTTGGTGAATTACGCATTGACAACTTTTATTGTTCATTCCATCCCCATTGCGAAATATCCTGCTCGATTAACAAATATCGTTGGAAATGTAATCCAAAGTGTCTGTCGGTATTGTTCAAAACTGATTGATTGCGTTTGACTTTGGTCACGATTGTCGAGATAACTATTAATCATCACGATGCGCCGGACTGAATTGACTGATTGACTAAAAAATACAGTTGCGGCGTAGCCTTGCATAAATAATTTAACGGAATTTGTGGTTCTGGTAATCACTGAATGATATGTATTCTGAGAATACGTTAATTCTTATCTGTTTTTCAAACGTATGTCGGAAAAATTTCCTTATCTGCACGTTAACACATTTATTTTTTCAGTAGCTTATTTGTTGGGCCATCAAGATAAATTGACGATATTTCTAAATACTTAAATTGACTGGATGATTCTTGTATTTAGCTTTATAAACAGTAGGAAGTTAAATCAAAATATAATAATTTAAGCGTAATAATAATTTAATTTAGAGAATAATTAATTTACTCATCAATGGGTGGAAATGCATTTATGGAAATGTCTTGTGTTTCTGTCTGTCTGTTTGCCCGTATCCACGATAATTTTAGAACGGATACAAATTTCTCAATGCGGGTTTCGACAAAGTGTTTCAAATTTTTGAAGTACGAATTAGTTCCAAGGTGCAGATTGTCATAAAGTCACGGCGGTAATGACGGTAATAACGCAAACGGTCGAATATGCGGAATTTTTTGTTTTAACCGTTTTAGTCGGGGGATTTAAGAAATTGTGCGATAACTCCATGATGTGTGGGCGGTGTCGAATGTCGAAAATCACTTTTGTCATGTGGGGTGTCTATTGAAACGATAGGTCGTGGGTTTCCCTTGTGAGCAAAATTAGGGATCAAACTAGAATTAAATGATAGTGATATTATGCAGTGTTACAGAACAGGGGTATATATTAACAAGAAAGCATAAGCACCAAATAAATTTGCAACACAACTAAAATATCTTCATTTCATAGTTGTTGTTTTGGGTTCCTTATCAGACGCATTTAGGTATGTATGTATTTAAATATGTCAGGCAAAATCTGACTATCAAAGTAACCAAAAGCTTATCTGTGTTTGTCACGGGGTCAGTTCAGTACAGTGGAACCCGTGCGTGATTATTTTTATCACGTGGCACGCGAAGCCTTAAACAAGCACGCCATCTCTAAGTAATTATGTACGTACTCGCCATTCCATATCGCAAAAGAGTTGGTTACATTAGTTTTGTGCAGCACAAAGTAGTTGCAGGCTGTCTGACGTGGGGTCAATTGATGCCGTGGGGCTACAGTATGGCTCGCGGTGAGAAAAACTTAAATGACCAGCCCACCTTTATGTGCGGTACACAAAGTCATGGGGCCAACTCTCTTGCTATATGGAACCGAGAGTACATATTAGGCTAGTTAATACAGATGATAATAAACACTGCTTAACTAAATAAAAATCTTGCGTGTTTAGGACATTTTTTCATTTACGAAATGTAAGACACATGCTAAGGGTAAGTAATTAATTTCAAATACATCTTACAGTACAACAGCACACTGAATTTCAAACGGAGAGCGTCACTTGGCAACCACTTCTTATCGTTGGACGCAAGCTTTATTTTATAAAGAAGAAAACCAATACAGTCGTATCCGACTAGCATTCTGGTGCCATGCCCATTAGATATTTGTTATTTTAAATCATCCTCCGAAGATATGTAATTGGAAACAAAAGCTCACTTGAAACATTCCTTCGAATAATTCAATTTCCTCGAATCCTTCTTTGGAAAACGAGTATTATGTCGTCCGTTTCTTGGATCTTCTTATTCATCACCATCCTAGCTACTTTATCCCACTGCTCCAACCAATGGAGTGGTATTTTCCTTGATGCCGATCTCACCTTCATATTCAGTCCGATGTGCAAGAAACACTTCTTCACACCCTGGAGGATGACTTCAATGAAAGAATTTGACATCGCCATGCCAGACTTTCCGGATGTAACTGCTTCCAATACGTATACACCATTACGTATCGCGTTCCTTTGTCACGACTGGATGGAAGTGAGTTATGAATACTCCACCGAACACTTGAAAGTCTTTCGATATCGCGAAATTGAAAAATCAGCCCGACCTAAAGCCGCATTTGTTCGGTTTGATTGGACAAATGAACGTTTTGCCATGGGCAAGTGCGACGCTTTGTTAATATTTCTGAAAGACAACCTAGCCCAAGATTATGTCTTTGGTCGCTTTTCGCAGACTTATGATTGTTACTACGTGGCGCCTCGACAGATAGGGACGTCAATGATGGTTGCTCCCTCCGATAACAGCCCCAAATTAAACATGCCCATACCTATTCTCCAATTCAATTTTTTGAATTTATTTTATTTTGAATTTTCGCGCCATTCGAAAATTGCTTTCTTTACTTTCACTTCTGTTGCCAACAGACATTTCTAGCTTATAATATAGACAGCACAGCACAGCACGCACAACAACGGTGACCCATCATAAGAGTAACCTTCCGCCATGTTGCTTATGAGCACGCACAGCACAGCACGCACAACAAGTGGTGTACCATCATCAGAGTCACTTTCTGCCATGTTCCTTATAAGCTGGAAATGTCTCTTGGCAACGGAAGCGAAAGCAATTTTGGTGTGACAGAAGTGAAAGTGGGGAAATTGATTTGAGTATAAACTCCCCCGGAAAGTCGATAAGGCACTTCAGACATATCAATTGTAACTGATTTTGGACCCTGAGCACGAATTTGACATTCAATTTGATCTACGAGGCCCCGGTGACCGTGTGAGGGAGGCTAAGGGTCACACGTGTCGAATACACGTCAGGCGTGGGATCGCAACGCTTCACCCACTGGGATCAACCAATGTCAACTACCCGTTGATAAGAGATCGCCGTATTTTGACTGTGTCGAGGAACAGTTCGATAATGAGGAAAAGATAACCCACTTTGGTTCTAAAACTGATGACTTTAAAATAAACCCTTTTAACTCAAAACCAGGGACTTTTATCTTTAGCAACAATTTATTATAGACACACACTTTAATTCATTTAAACAAAAAGACAATTAATTTCTAGAGATCCACTATTTTTAACTAAATAGCTGGAGCACTTTTTATTTCGTGACTTTTCTCTAGAAAAATCTTCTACTCACCTCTTGACGTTCAATTCGCTACTACTAAAAATACGTACTGGCTAAAAACTACCAGACCCACGCGCCCCTTTACTTCTTACTCTCCCATTTACACTCTCTGATCCGCATCCCTTCATTCACAATATTTCGTATACTGTAACATTGCCTATGCTGTAGCATTGCCTATGCTGTAACATTGCCTATGGTGTAACATTGCCTATGCTGTAACATTGCCTATGCTGTAGCATTGGGTTTGCCACCTTATTTACCACTTTACCAATTTACCCAATTATTTCTATTGTAAAATATGTCAAACTATTGAAACTAATTTAATCATAAACCTATATAATTTCCAATTATTGATTAATTATTCTCTTTAGTAAACATACTTCTGTCTTCGAAATAAAACAGTACAAAAAACGAATACATGGATTTGACATCAGGCGTATCAATTCTGACTGATTTTGAACGCTGAACATGAATTTGATACTCAAGTTCACCTTCGACGCCCCCTGGCCGTGTGGGCGAGGCTAATGATGAAAAAATGTCTTAAAGGTCCCACAGGACTAGTTTTCATTATGTCTAACTGTTCTTAACTATTGTCCACTTTCATGTTCGTTCCAAATATCTTTGACTTACGTCTACAACAGAGAATTTCAGCTAATGAGGCAATGAAATATTTAAGTAAGTCCTGCCTGGCGGGAGACAGGCTTATACGCTAGTAATTATTATATTTGTTCCCGCTGTTCTAATACGGTGTGACGTGAATCACGTCACACCGTGCTCTAATGTCGTGAGATGTTATTTAACAGCAGCAACTTTGGGTAACACCTTGCTGGAATTAATTAAATTAAATTGTTATTAAAAAAATTTAAAGATTGTCTGGACGAATCTTTATGAGTTTTTATATAATGCTCGGTATGCGACATTATTTCGCCTATAATAATCGGCGATTATTAATCGCATGCCATAATCGTATCATGCGATTGTAGGTAGTCATGCGAATCGCATGACAAAACCATCCAAAACAATTCATCAGGGAAGGTTGAGGTACTTCATGTCGAATAATTTCGCGCAAAGTTTAGAACCAAATATACCATAGGTGAAACATACATGAGGTAAGGAAATTAATTACTTAATAGAGTGGCCTATTTTGCAGTGGCGTTAACCACCAAGTTACATATGGCCGATACTTAGGAATTGAGAGAGTCGTTAAGTTTTAGTTTACTGCGCATTTATGTGAGCCACGTAATTACTTGTATTATTTATGCTGAAAGCCCATTGCAATAGCCAGAAGAATCTCAATATCAAAAATATTTTTGAGAATGGCCAGCAAACAGAGTAATAAAGCTGAAGGTGAAGCACTCGGAAATCGAGTCTCGAACTACATTTATCAGTTATGTAAATTATGTAATTCATGTAAAAATTATCTTTTTTCGTACTCCTTCCCCCGCCCTCTGTCACACTATTGTAACGCAAGAGCAATACCCCCCCTGTCCACCTATGTCTCGCACCTAACAGTGGGGGCCGGACAGTTTCTACATTGGCGAAGTTTGATTGTCATTTTGGTTTTCAATTTCTGAGCACTTTTTTAAGTAAAAATTTAATTTAAAACGTTGTATATAGTTCTTCGCCCTTCACAGCAACAATTTTGTTCCTAAAGCCTAGTATACAGGTGGGATAAATGTACCGGATAAATGTCTGTAATTCGATGGTAAATTATAAATTCGTAACTTTTATCTGTTCATTTTTGTATAACATTATGTTTTCATAAAATTAACATGTAAAAGTTACCAATTTATAATTTAATATCGAATTACAAAAATTTATCCGGTACATTTATCCCACCTGTAACC